AGCAGTTGATTCACACGCTCCAACTGAACAAACAACTCTTGCACAGTTAGACCACCACCACAGGTGAGGCAAGCCAGGTTTTTTTCAGTATTCAATAACCAATGTGACAGAACTAGAGCCAACATAGAAGGTTTGTAGTCAGATCAGGCTACAAGGCTCATACACAAGACACCACCTTATGCAAAACTAGCCATTCCCCTTACAGAAAGATAACATACATGTTGATGGAGGTAACTGGGACAGACATTTTATCTAGCTGGTCATGCCTGTCAGTCTGTTGGCTTCCATAAGCCAAAGCCAAGAAGCTCTGAGGAAAAAGATACTTGGAAACCATGGCAACATACCATTTTGGCTGATAAAAAGAAAGCAAAGAACAGCCATCACTGCTGCTAATAGAAAAAATATATTTGTTTTTCAGAAAAATTTACTTATCAAGTTCTTCCAAAACCAGTCATCCCAGACATCCAGACACCAACATACAGTCAAAATTATCTTTTCAACTGAACTGCCTTTTCTGTGCGGGAATACAGAGAACAGTAGAGAACATAAGGAATCAGCAAATGTAGCAACATGATATCTATTTCAAACCAGGGCACAATACATATGGCTGTAGTGACACTGCAAGACCAGTTCTTCATTGCCACAGACACTTTATGCATAAACTGCACAAGAGAACCCATGCAACCAATGCTAACCAAGAAGAGAAGAGTACTCAGATACAATAACGATAAGCGGAAGTAAAAAGTTATTGGCAGGAGGCATAAAGATAAAACAGATACATATAGTGACCTTCTGCATCATATCCAGACTGAAATCAACACAGCAGATGCTGCATTCCCACATAGTGTTCACGGTTTTAGCTGACAGCAGTTCCTGAGGATCACAGCCAGCCAACAGGATGGCTGCTCAGAAATGCTGCAGATCCGTGCCTTATACATGTAAGGACTAGAAGTAAACAGTCAAGCTCTTTTTGGTAAATTCAAAATTAAGACCCTCTCTACTACAAGATGACCATTTTTGCTACCACTTGGATTCAACTTGAAATCTGACTTTTCTGGCAAGCAATAACTTCAAGGGTAATGACCAGCATCGTAAGAGAGAGTTTGATATAATTTTTCCTAACCAGAATTAGAGAGAACACACAGACTTCGCTGCAGCAAAAGTTGTGTAATATTTTAACTTACAAAGTCTAACTTAAAAAAAATAATAACCAAAGTAATGAACAAATAAATTGGGTAAGAAAAAACATTTCCAGGAAGACAAAGCTCTCAAAACAAAGTTTTTGAGCCAGAATCAGGAGAGCCTATGAAGGCTGACATCCTGAAGCAATGCCTCATTATGGCTGAGAACCTATTTAACAAGCTGAGTTACTTGAAATATACAGCACATGGTTTAGGCTATGAATATAACTTATTCGAAGAAAAAGCAGCATAGAACAGAAATCTTCTATGCTTGGCTCATGCGAAAGCCAAGTTTAAATTAAGATTTAATTAAATTTCTGTGGACTCTTAATTCAAGCACATTGTTGGCGACGCTTTCTGTTATTTGATCTTTCAGAAGTAAATGTTTGATTGAACAAGAAAGCAACAACTGTGAATTTCATTATTCTTTTACACACTGCCCTGTTACTATGATTTATAGCTACGTTCAAATTAAAACATCCTCAATTAAGAACCAAGAATCACCTCCTGCAAGACATTGCAAGTAAAAGTACAACTCTGGATTCCTAGATGAATATATGATTAAGAAACCTAAAATCATAATTTCTTAGAAGTCCTAAACATTTGGAAGCTCACTAGAACATAGTGCAGACAGTATAGCACTTCTTTCTAGGCCTTGAAACTGCAAATATATATTGTTTTAAACTAAACCTAAGCCAAACAAAAAATGTACTTCAAAAATTGAAGAAAATAATTTAATTTGGTCAAGGATATGTGCCAGATTCTGTAATGGATTTTAGCATGACCACAAGTCCACGGAAACGAGCACTTCAGATGCTGGACATCATGAAGCAGACATTTATTTATGTCTATACCTTACACAAAGGGTAAGAAAAGCAGCTTAGGAGCCCAAGCAAAATTACTGTCTATGCTGAAGGGGTAGATAATATTATAGCAAATTCTGCTTTCTCAGAGTTGATAATTACTTTAGTTGCATAAATTAAAAATAACTGAAGAATTTTAAGGGTGACTAGAATACAACTATTCAACTAGAGAGCCATTCTATCCTCTTTTATATGCCATTGCAATGTTTTAATAGACTTCCTCTGTTCTCTTGTTTCAGGAAAAAAAAAACGCAGAACATTTATTTTGCCATTTTCCTGTCATTATGTCAAAGGAAAAATACCTGCACTTCAGTGTGGCTACACATGAAAAGACATGAGAAAAAATAATGTAGGAGTGAAGCTTCATCCAATACATCATTGAAAAAAAAAAAGAGTTATAAGAAAGTTATCCCTTAGATGATTATATATGATTAAGCCCAAAGAAGCTATGGGGAGCAAGTTACGCAATATTCTTAACATAAATGCAAGAATAATAAAAAAAAAAATAAAAAATCTATAGAACAGAACTGTGAATCTAACTTTTAACTTGTGTTTGGATGAAGTATCAAATGTTGGAGACCACAATTTAGGTTAATTCGGCAGCTAAAGTGTTCATACTTGACAACTGGAGAGGAAGAGACATAGTTCTTTTAAGAAAAAACCCTCAAAGTTAAGAAATCATTTCATAATCCAAACTTACACTTTAAAAAAAGTCTAACTCACTAATTGTCATTTCATGTAATGAATAGCACTAATACATAGGAAATCACAGTAATTTGAAACTGCAATGATTTGTAACACTGAACATTCACATAAAAGTGTGAACATTTCTCACTTCACCTGAGCCTCACCTCCACATTTTTAATGCAGAGGAGTTCTGAAAGGACTAAATCTAGCAACCAACAAACGTTACAAGAAACAGACTAAAAGTCTATAACACCCATATTAGGAAAAACTAAATATAAAAATTGAATTATTTATAAATACAGAAGTTCTCGTTCTTCTTCACCAAAATCCAACATCTCTGCTTCATTATGGAATGCTTAGAAACAATGTTGTTCCTATATATGTTCTACAACATCACGTAGTATCTTTGCAAACATACTGTATTGCCCTGTGTTAGCATGATACAGGCTGGCTGGCATGGCCATTGCAGAAATTCCAGAAGGTGCTCCTTCATCTTCTGACTTTTCTTCTTCTTCAATCTTTGGTACTGCAGGAACATCTGATGACAGTTCATTCAAAATTTTTCTAAAAAAGAATGTAAATAATTTTATATATTTGAAATTCCATATCCGTAAGAAAACTAAGTCACTGGCTTTTATCAGACAGTTTTGCTATAATATATAAGCTGCCTTTAAAAACCAGCAAAACCAAAATAAAAGTTCCTTACCGGTATGAAGGCCGCCTTGAAAGTATTTCCCTACGTTTTTGAGAATCAATTATCCCTTCTGACTCTGCAGATTCATCTGCAATCGATGCTACCTGTAATAGTAAAGTTTCTGAAATTCATAACTTAATAAAAAAAAGAAGATAGCAACAGAGTAAAAGGTTATTTTAAAAAATTCCTTCCATGGTTGCATACATGAAATTTGTGCACTTATTTATCACTAATCGTGTGACCTTGGACTTCTTTTTCCAAAGCAAATCACAAATTATGAGGTTAGCAACACATAGCCACTTAGATGTCATCTTCCATTTGAAAAAGAAAAAAATCAAAATAATCCAGCTTACTTTTTTGTGAATGACACCTAGAAAAAGTATTGAAGACAGAAGATTTCTTTAAATATAAAAATATTACACAATTTAATTGGCTTTTAAAGTTAAATTAAACATTTAAAATACAGAATACTGCAGTAATGCACCTTAAATAACAGTATACAATACAAAAACCTCTTCACAGCCACACCAAAGCTATTCAGAAAATAAGTTTATTTAAATATACACATTTATTACACTTACCAACACATATTCAAAAATACAAATACATCACGTAGCAATACTGTGCCAGTTTTAGAAACCCCTGACAAGTACACAACATCTCGTTTTCTCAGACCTTTATTAGAAGTATTTTCACAGGTTCTTTTAAAACTACGCAAGACAACATTAAGGCCTGGAGCTGAATCACACTCTTTACCAGCAACTATCTCGTTACACGCAACTGAAAGTGATTATCGAAAAAGGAAAACACGCCATTTTCTTGATTCATTTAACTACTCGGAACCATTGGTGTGGAAGATTTCCAAACTGAAACAGTGCAGTAAAGTTAGTGTGGAAAACAACCTTTTCACCTAAAGACAGACCAGACTACAGTTTCGGACTAAGCGCTGTGTTAAGCTAACACTGAACAAACATGAATGAAGTGAGTAGAAGGCTCAAGTGTTCGACCCAGAGGTCTAGAACTAACGTGGCTGCCAGGCCTGAGTGCTCAGTGCTAGAAACAAAACCTGCATGACCTCAACAGAAAATGCCTGGCTGGAAGGTTCTGGAAATTTATAGGCCTGGGCCACCCCAACTCAAACCTATAAAACTACACCTTGAAAAAACTACAGGTTATTGCAGAAGGAAATTGTCTCTTCACTTGTTAATTTTATTACATTCCAGTTCTGTGTAAGAATATTTAATGTAGCCTCATTTTGCTTGGTAATATGTAGGCACTGTCATTAAAACTCTACACCTGCCTAGTGAAAAAAAAGACCACCTAGAAATAATGAGGTACTTTTGCATGTCTACAGATGCACAGCTCCACACCAGACTCCAGAGCTGACTGGCAGAGATACAAGAGCTTCAGGAAGTTTGCATTCATCCTTTTGCAGGCCAGACCAATGCTGACCAGCAAAGAGATCTTCTGAAAGGCATTTCTCTCCAGCGCCCTACAGTGATCTGCTTGTGGATCAACCTTCAAGCCTAAACCTTCAAAACTAAGACAGTATTACACAGCCAAGAGCCCAGGCATCCCACCTCAAAACAGAACTCTCGTTCTGCCGGGGAAGGCGGGGGGGAATCTATTTGTCCCAAGCCAAACAGCAGGAAAACAAGACCTCGGTGCCTTTAAACCTTCCCATTCCACTAAGGGTTATCAATAGCTACTCCTAGTTTGTGAAGATGGCCAAAGAAGTCAGGAACAGTCGTACTTGGGGAAGAAGGTAAGGAAATCACAAGACGATTTAAGCATTTTAACATGGAAGAGGACATTTTCTGCAAGAAATTTCAAAAAGTTCTGATTTTCATCAAGACAAAGACATAAACAACATTTCAGTTTGTTTAATAGCAAGCAACCATGTCCACAATGCTAGCCAACGGAAACCATTGTCAGTTTTTCTTGGACATCATTTGGACTTCAACTTTACCACGCCACTCTGCATTTGAACAAATTTAACTTCGAGCTCATGTTAGTCTGCTAATACCTGATCCATTACAGTAAGCAGAAAAGTCAAGTAACAATCTGAGCTTCAAACCTTCCTACAAGTAAAACAAAATTAACAAAACAGTAAGGAACACGATATAGATAAGCATTTTTTTCATCCCAAAAGCAACAACATTAGAAGAAAACATTTTGAACACCTTCCAGTTTAAAGCTGCAGGTGTTTGAGGGAGAGGTCATGCAAGCTTTATTATTTACCTTCAACATACTTTTTTTTTTTTTTTTTTTAAATTAAACTGATATCATTCCCCAAGTTCCCCACTGTCTGGCAGAGATAGGATATCACGTTACATGATCTGGAGGAAATGCCAGGTGGCAGGATAAAGTACTTAAGAGGATTACAGAAGGGCTGAACAAGCTCTGTAATGGAGTCTTTTACAGCATCTTCAAGCCCTTCTTGTAGAATCACCTTATTTGGCATTAGCATGCTCAGATGAAACCAAAGCAAAACCCTGGAACTAACTAGTCAGTATTAATCAGGACACAGCTTTCCTGTCTCTGCTCCTTTAGGAAAGGGAAGACAGACAGAGTTCACTCAATACAACAAATAGTCGATTTCCACTCCCCTAAAACAACACAGCAGCAGCTGGCACAAGATTCCAGAGAAATTCCTCCTCCTGAGCTTTGAAGCAAGTCCTCCATTTTTGCATGTATGTCCTGACTATATGGACTTGAAGAAAAGCAGCAACAGAAACTGGGAATGACTGTAATATGCTTATCTGATAAAGTTCTCTCTGGTAAATTACAGTTAGAAAGAATTCCATTAAAAACGCATTTATTTTGAATACTCTGATTTGACTTCAAGTTTGGTCTAATCCGAAGTCTCTTGCTATTTACTGCACCTGTTTCAATAGTGACCTAGAACTTCAAAACCTTACCAGGTCCCATCATCTACACCTACTTCTTACAAATAAAATATTCAGTATCTGGCCAAGGTTTTATTCTTTTTCTCTCATCTCTAAGATAAATCATACTTACATATGCCTTTTTATTCATTATACTTGGAAGCTACTAAGAAGTCTCAAACATTAAAGGTGGCTTCTCAAGAAGACTGACAACACATGTCTTTTCCTTAACATGTTGCAATGACTGTAGGTAAAACAGTTCACACATAACGGGTACATAGCCTCTCTTACCAGAGATACCAATTCGATTTGCAAAAAGCAATTCAGTTGACATTTCACAACCTGATTTTAAGAGAAGTAGAGAAAAGGCATTCCAAGCTACAAGAAAAACACCAATGGGAGGCCAAGTCATTTTCAAAACACTGCAAGTTCATTCTCTCTAGTCTTTTTCACTATCTAAAAGCTCTGAAAACTCTTAAGCATTTTGCATCGATCCCTGTTTTCTAACATCAGCAACTTTAAACATGTGAAGATTCACCAAATAAATGCTTATTTTGAGGCTGCCCTTATTTTTGGTCTTTATATATCCACACCCACAAAAAGCAATACCAGATGCTGTAACAGGGTCTGCTAAAAACAAGGAATCATTTGACTATAACATGTTTACTTCCATTACATCCAGATGCTCTCCAAAAATACTGTATGAGATACTTGCAAATTTACGAGTTCATAGTCTCATTAGAAACATGACGTTCACAGAATTTAACAAAAGAGAAAAACTGCAAGATACGCTAAAGTAAGGCCAAGTTATTACACAAATTTGCTGTTGCGTAAGTTCAGGGTTCCAAGACACAATTTCTTAAAAGATAAACAGGAAGCATTAAGGAATTGCTACACAATGCTTGCAGAGCTCCTACTGGTTGGCACTTTGCCACCTTCCCCCCTGCTGTTTCCCACACCATATGAGTAAATCTTTCAGCACTGGTAGGAATTAAGAGAAACTGAAGATGGGGTTGGGGGAAGAGTCATGAGGCACCAAATATTCATGAAAATGTAACAATAAAAAGAGCTAACCTGAACAGCTTGCATGTGTGGTGACTGAATGACTGAGGGCTGTGTGGCTTGAATGACACCCTGGACATGAACAGTTTGACCAGAAGGCAACTGCACTAGACTTACAGCTGGAGATCCTCTTCCAGCACTTGATGCAGCTACAGAAACCTGCAAAAATTACAATCATCACGTTTAAGTAACATGCCTTAAGACTTCAGCAAAAGTGATACTAAAACAAACTGGTTTTGATGCCATATCCAAAATAGCTTACATGTGTTTAATTATCACACACAGAAATTAACTAGTTTTACAAGTAAGAGTTTGGTGCGTATCTTTCCAAATGGTATGGAAAGGTCAGAACTGTCCCCTAACGAATTACAAATCTTTCTTCTTCTTTTTTTTTTTTCTCCTCCAGAGACTTCATGTTTTCTTCTCAATTAAAAACAAGCCTAAGCTATCACACACTAAATCTGCTGTCACTAGCACAAAGGTTGGGAAGAACCTCAAGAAATGTAACAAAAAATACCAATATTCACTGATTTGGCATGTTGCTGCAACAACATACAGGGCAGAATGTTCTTAGTCAGGGGGAAAAAAAAAAAAATCCAGAACTGCTTTGGGTTTGCTTTCTTAGGCAATAAGTTATGCTTTTCAGACAGACATCTACATGGATTTGTAAATTGATTTAGTTTAATAAATTCTCTTTTATATATACACATATATTTATATATCAAGAAAAAGAGGATTGCAGTGTATCAGTGCTTCAATAACACAACAAAAATAAAGAACAGCTGAATCTTCTTTAAGCCTAGCACAGCTGAAGAGTGTTCTGTTTAGGAATAATCTGATCCCTTTTGCTGATGACATTTTAGAGCACACACAGCTTTCCCCAGCCCTTGGCTCTCAACCATTCGTACTGAGGATGAATGGGTTAAGAAACAGCTAAACACCTACAAGCTAAAAAATAGTTCAATATCTATGCTATTACTGTTAAGTCTATTAACAGAAACACATACTCAAGCAAAGGGAAAACACTACAATTGATCTCAAGTTCTGTGTGATGAAACATCTCTAAACTCAGAAAAGGAAGAGAATGACAAACATAAATCATATGATAAAAGGAGATACTATGTTTTTCAAAGTAAACTGCATTGAAAAACCTTATTTCT